ATGCGAGCGCCAGAACTCCCGCTCCAAACAATTTAATGGATGAAATGGCGAAGACTTTGGCTCGAAGAAGGGCTCAGGCGGAGGGCACGCAAAACACTAGTTGTGATCAATACGATGGCAGTACTCCCGCCAGCGATCACTCTTCCAGAAAGCATTGGGACGGAAAACATGCCACTAATGGAAGCAATAGTCCCTCAAAGGATAGCTCTAATGATACAATTCAAAGGTTTGTAAAGATTTGTTAGTTAACATGAATTGAACAAAAATACTTAATATATTTGAAAATGTGGTGAATAGACAAAGAACTGGATCTCTAGACAGTGATCCTAAACTAAATGGCATCGAAGGTCTTGATGTCGAAAGATTTAAAAATGAAATTATGGGAGAAATACGCAAAGAGTTTAATAAAATGAAACTCGAGATTATAGACGGTTTGTATTTGTTTTACATTTTATTTGTATAGAAATTGAAAACATTATAATTTTCTGACTATTATTAGCCATAAGAATGGAATTGAATCGAAGATAAACTGATGGATTGAATGGACTTATAATTTACATAAAGACATGTGAACTGCAAGTAAACCATATGTTTTGCAGAGGATTTGCTAAATTTTAAATTAATTTAACGCCAATTATTCATAACCTAATGAAATACGTATTAATTATTTTGTGTAAAATTATTTGATTTTGTAAAACAATTCAACGAAATGGGGTTTCAATTGAATATCAGTCGAAAAGTCGACCCAAAATCTCAGTAGAATTAATCGATGGAATACAAGCGCTGCCATAAAACGATGCAAAAGTGCCACAAATGAGCACTTTTTAGCGATAACTGATGACTAACGACATTAAATATGTATTGAAATCTCTGTTAGTTTTATTTGCGCTTTAATTTGGATGTGATTTGAAATTATTTAATAATAAATATATTATAGAAATAGATATTTAAGTTAAATAATGAATTGGTTGTATCATATTTTTGATTGACGTTCGGAAGTGATGGCTAGACTTCCGTCAAACTGATCTCTTGGTTACCGGTTATCCATAAAACATAAGATAATAAGAAATATGAATCTGAAGAGTTGAACCCCATTTCATAATAAAAGTGATTATTTATACATTAATTTTTGTCAGAATTCATGTATTATTTTGAGTTTTAAACCGAATTGAGTTTTACAAAAGTATTTTCATTGTCTATAAATCATTGCTTTTATGAGTAAATACTATGTAATTATTTCTGATTTTAATATATAACTAATATTCAAATTTTTATCAAATAATTNCAAAATCATTTGTAGATTTCATTTAAAGAGATTTTTGAATTTATTAATAGATATTATAATGTATTTTCAAAGAATTTCTTTATTTTCGTGAATTTTATCGTAAATAACAGATTGAATGCAATTATAGAGAAATTTATTTAACAAACACTTAATATATATAGAAAATGTTTTTAAAAATATTTTCCTTTATATAAATTTAAATGGATTTATTAAACTGAACTCTCTCTCTCTCTCTCTCTCAAAAATGGTTGTGAATGTTTTAGTGAATTAAATAAATTTAAATTGAATATTGTTTTTCAGAGCAATTATAATTGTTAATCAAAAAGTTTATAAAAGTCCAAACGTATGACAATTGCGGACAACAAACGAGACATTAATGAAAAGTCGCCCAAAAGTGATGCTGTTTTGAACCGAAAAACAGCACAAAAAGCGATTGTTTTGCGAGTTTTATAGTCTCATATAGGAGTGAGTGAAGTGTACGGTGTATGCAGTGGTGTAGTGTTGTGTAGTGTTGTGTACAGTGTGTGCAGTGTATGACTGTATGTATCGCTTGTACTCACTGTATGTGTTGTATAATTAAAGGCTGGACTGAATGGTGAACACAAAACACAATACATTTATCGATATATGATATGACATAACAGTCTATAGTGTACTCTAAACTCAATACAGTATTCGTATTATTGTCTATAATATACTGTTTTGACATAAATATCACATTCAGTGAAAGCTATGTTTCCAACAAAACCATTGAGTCTTTGATTTGACATTAATTGCAACAAATGTTTCACTCATTCACTACTATTTGATTCATTGAAACTCTAAGTGTCACCAAATTATCATCAAATTGTGCCACAATTGACATCTCAAACACTCTTCACATGTCTTACCATTAGTTTTATCGTTAATTCAATTATAAATCCAATTGTATCTCATTTTCTATGCATTCAACCATTGAATCCAATTGACAATTGGATCAGTTATTTGTGATATCATTAGTAATTAGTTAAATAAATTTGAAGATAAAATAGTGATTAATTTGTGGTCAAAGAGACGACTGATTGGCCATTAGATTGATTTAAAAGACACTAAACATGAGGTAAGAGTTGTTTGATATGAATGTATGGATGGATTGTAACAATGATTTGACGATTCAGTTGCGAGACATCGATATCATCCGCGAGAGCGTCAGTCATGCTCTACGACGACAACTCGAAGAAGTGGTTGCCGTCGGGATCGTCATCGGGTCTGTCGAGAGTGCATATCTACCAACACATACAGAACAACACATTCCGAGTGGTGGGCCGTAAACTGCAAGACCACGAAGTAAGTGATGATTTGGTGATTGTCTTACATGTGATGACATACATGTCTAATGCTTGGATGTGTTGTGATGTCTTGTGGTGTCTTAGGTGGTGATCAACTGTGCGATACTGAAGGGTCTGAAGTACAATCAGGCGACGCCGACATTCCATCAGTGGAGAGACAACCGACAGGTCTATGGACTCAACTTCAGCAGCAAAGAAGAGGCCGACGCTTTCGCTCTCACTATGATTAAAGTGTTGGATGTGTTGAATCAAAACATCACTAATAATATAATCACATCCAAAATGCCTACTAATCCCACACAACAACCACTCTATGGACACATCGGAGCGCCCGAAGACTATGGCATCGGTGGCGGAGGCGGTGGTCAGCAGTGGAACCAAAATCAAGTGAATGACATAAATGAGTGGAAACAACAACAGATGATCCAAGAGATGAATCATATGAATCATGTGACGAATCACAACCACATTATGAGTCCTCCCATTCAGCAACAAATGTCTCAATCAATGCAACCGCAGATACAGTCATCGGTTCCATCGGTTCCGCAGTCAATACCACAACAGCCCACTTATGGCACGCATAACACGCATCATAGGAACCCTTCCTCTACTAATAACCCAGTGATGACTCAACAAATACAACAACAGACACAACAAATGCCACAAATGTCTCCACAACCACCGCTACAGACAACAGGTGCGCCGCCGCCTCCACCACCACCTCCGCCACCGCCCGGACCACTGACTGGACCACTAACTGGTCCTCCGGGTCCGCCACCTGCACCTCAAATGCCACCAATGAATGCACCAATGAATGCACCAATGAATCGCGCGCCTCCACCGCCGATGAATGCAAACAATAGTAATACTAATACAATGAATGGAAGTACTCCACAGTCAGGATCCGTTAATTTGGCCACAGCTCTGGCCTCAGCCAAACTCAAACGAACGTCTTCTTCGGCGGCCAGAGAGGAAGTGATTGGTTCTGCAGGCGATGCGAGCGCCAGAACTCCCGCTCCAAACAATTTAATGGATGAAATGGCGAAGACTTTGGCTCGAAGAAGGGCTCAGGCGGAGGGCACGCAAAACACTAGTTGTGATCAATACGATGGCAGTACTCCTGCCAGCGATCACTCTTCCAGAAAGCATTGGGACGGAAAACATGCCACTAATGGAAGCAATAGTCCCTCAAAGGATAGCTCTAATGATACAATTCAAAGGTTTGTAACGATTTGTTAGTTAACATGAATTGAACAAAAATACTTAATATATTTGAAAATGTGGTGAATAGACAAAGAACTGGATCTCTAGACAGTGATCCCAAACTAAATGGCATTGAAGGTCTTGATGTCGAAAGATTTAAAAATGAAATTATGGGAGAAATACGCAAAGAGTTTAATAAAATGAAACTCGAGATTATAGACGGTTTGTATTTGTTTTACCTTTTATTTGTATAGAAATTGAAAACATTATAATTTTCTGACTATTATTAGCCATAAGAATGGAATTGAATCGAAGATAAACTGATGGATTGAATGGACTTATAATTTACATAAAGACATGTGAACTGCAAGTAAACCATATGTTTTGCAGAGGATTTGCTAAATTTTAAATTAATTTAACGCCAATTATTCATAACCTAATGAAATACGTATTAATTATTTTGTGTAAAATTATTTGATTTTGTAAAACAATTCAACGAAATGGGGTTTCAATTGAATATCAGTCGAAAAGTCGACCCAAAATCTCAGTAGAATTAATCGATGGAATACAAGCGCTGCCATAAAACGATGCAAAAGTGCCACAAATGAGCACTTTTTAGCGATAACTGATGACTAACGACATTAAATATGTATTGAAATCTCTGTTAGTTTTATTTGCGCTTTAATTTGGATGTGATTTGAAATTATTTAATAATAAATATATTATAGAAATAGATATTTAAGTTAAATAATGAATTGGTTGTATCATATTTTTGATTGACGTTCGGAAGTGATGGCTAGACTTCCGTCAAACTGATCTCTTGGTTACCGGTTATCCATAAAACATAAGATAATAAGAAATATGAATCTGAAGAGTTGAACCCCATTTCATAATAAAAGTGATTATTTATACATTAATTTTTGTCAGAATTCATGTATTATTTTGAGTTTTAAACCGAATTGAGTTTTACAAAAGTATTTTCATTGTCTATAAATCATTGCTTTTATGAGTAAATACTATGTAATTATTTCTGATTTTAATATATAACTAATATTCAAATTTTTATCAAATAATTGCGACAGAAATTTGAGCCATAATTTACTCAATCATTATATCCATTGTATTATCAAATTTGAGCCGATTTTCAGAACCATTTAGGATTTAAACAGTTTTCTTCATTTTAACTGTACTTAACATTTGCCTAAAACTATAGCTTCTTCTCCACGAAAATGCCTCAATTTATTTACACTTTTCTAACGATCAAAACATTTACACATTTCTATTGAATTCTAAAAAAATACCACAATTTTTGCCAAATTATTGAAATTCTTTTAAGAATTTATTTCTATTCCTAAGAAATATTTCCATTAATTTTACTTAACATAAAAAAAAGTTATACCAAAGACTGAAAAACATAGCAGAGAAATGATTTGTGTCTTATTATAAATTTAAAACAACATTTTGATACTCATTACTAAATTCTTAGCTAAAAAACAATGTTTTATCACAACATTAAATAACATTTGGATTTTACA